CCCCCCCCCCCCACTCCATTTTAACATGTGGGGGAACCTCTCATCTTAGATTCAAGTATGAGGTATAGCAGGAAGCTGCCATGGCTTGGGCTCAGGCTCCAGCCCCAACTCAGAGTTAGGGCTGGAGATACATCTGCTGTCTGTCCCCATCACCTTTTCCCGCTCCCCCCAAAGCCTCTGCTCTATGCCCTCAGCTTCTGTGGCAATAGCTTGGGCCAGGCCCTGGAGCAGGGCCAGAGCTGAAGAAAGAGTAAGCAGCAGCAGGGAGGGGCAGAGGATGTAAAGGAGAGGAAAGATACAGGGAGACAGGAGGAAGGGGGACCAAGGATGTGGGGAGGCAGGCACAGAGGTGGTGGGGTGGCAGGCAAAAGGAAGCAGGCACATGGGGGTAGGGATGGAGGCAGACGGGCAGTAGGGGACAAGATGCTGGGGGCAAGGGGCAGGGATCAAGCTTCTTGCCCCTCCCCCACTTGTCTTATTGCCTCCCTCCAATAATTAGTTTCTATACATGGAAGATTACATCAAATTTATGTATTTCCCTTGTAGAGAATTGAATGATTGGAGGGCATCTTCAATTCAGGGTTGTCTTTGGATTTGGGTAAATACAGTATCACCATTAAACTTCATCATAATTGTAAACACAAAGGCCTCCGTTATGTCCATCCAGTTTTACCAGGGTAAATTGGCCAATTATCTATAACAAATCTTCAATTGTGACTTTTTTTTTTATAGCAGCACCAATGAACAGAGAAGCAGCATCCCAACAGCTAGTTTTGGGATTCTGTTTAACTGAAAAGTGGAAGTATTACCTTTCACTCCTCTTTCAAGGAGCCAGGTGACTACAGAGCCCTATTGTTGCTGGGAGAGTTTTGCAAAGGCATTAGAAAGCTGCTAGTGAGATTAGGGGAGAGGAGGAAGGGAAACAAAGTCCCTTCCAGAAGTTCTGGAAGCTGAGCCAGACAAAACATCCCTTAAAATGTATCTCCGTTCCACAAGTAGAATGCTATTGATCAAAGCCACTACCTTTTATACAGAAGCATGATATAACAGGTAAATCTAGGATCATATTCCAAAGGTCAACAAACTGGTCTGGTTGCATTAATGGAAGAATAGAATTTCAGAGCTCTGATAATCTGAC